TTATGCTGGAGTGGACAGGGGGGTGAAGGCCAGGAATGGGAGATGGGAGAAGAAAGCGGAGGAATAGAACATGAAAAGGGACAGAAAGAAAGAGAGAAAAGAAGAGGGGCGATGGGAAAAAGTCAACGATGAAGCAAACAGACGTGCTGGGCCTCCAACTGCTGCATCTGTAACAAAACACACTCAAAGGACGCAAAGCACCTGAAAGACAAAACAAAGTGAGGTACACAAGCAAACATACGATTTTTCTGTTTGAACGTGTAAGAGAGAAAGCGAGAGAGAGGATGTGAGTTTCTGCGTATGAGCATTTATCATTAAATATGGTTGAAAATGAAGGTGATAGACTGCAACAACAACAACAATGCGCCCGCAAGAGCCAAGGACGGACGGTTAAGATCCAGGAGAAGCCAGTCGACCACGGCGCCCCAAAAGTGCTGAAGACCCGAGGTCACACATCCCAATCACAGCTGTGCGTCCAGCCTAGCCGAGGCAAGAGGGAGGGCCAGATGGGAGTGCTCACAGCCAAGGGCGGGAGTGCCAGGGGAGCACGCAGCCACTCCAACACGAGCTGAGGACGGGACCCCAGACCACAGCGCCATAAGAACCGCCTGACACCTGGTGGAGCCCCCATCACTTGACAAGGAGGTCAAAGCCACCACAAACCCCAAGGGAGCAAAATACGGTTTTTAAATGATGATTTAGTTTATTAAAGAAAAATATTATTCTAATCTACCTGTGATAAGTAATTTTCCCCTAAGCTTGCTAACAGGGGTTAATAACTTAATCCTTGTTAGAAATACCATCAAGTTTTTGTGAGAACTGCCAATGAATCTTTCACTGTGGAGGAATTTTGTCTCCCTCTTCTTTGCAGAATCACTTTAATTCAGCCACATTAGAGACTTTTCAAGCCTGAACAGCCTGTTTAAGGCAATGCCAAAGTATTTCAATCAGTTTTGACTCCAGACTTTCAAAAAAGGTGAGCAGAGCAGAAATGTATGGCTTGGCATTCTCCGAATTCATAGTTCATCAAGTACAGCAAGTCATCCTGAAACAGCAAGGCAGCCCGAGATTATTACTGTTGCATTGTGTTCTTTTTGTGAAATGCTGTGTTAGTTGTATGCCAGATGTAATGGGACCCAAACCTTCAAAATCTTCAACTCTCATCAGTTCACAATATGTTTTTTGGCAAATATAAGACAAGCCCTTTTGTTCTTTATGGTCAGCTGAGGTTTTCACCTTGAAACTCTCTCATGGAAACCATTTTTATCCAGTGTAATTTTTATTGCTGAATTATAAACACTAACCCCGAGACATGAGGCCCACACATCTTTAGATTTTGTCCTGGGTTATTTCGTGACGTACTGGATGAATTGTTGATCATTTTGGAGTAATTTTGGTAGGCTTGCCTCTGCTGGGAACATTCACTACTGTTCCAAATTTGCTCCACTTGTGGGTAATGGCTCTCACCGTTTTTTGGTGGAGTCCCAAAGCCTTGGAAATCGCTTTGTAATCCTTTTAAGACTGAGAGATGTCAATTACATTTTCACATAGGGTTTAGAAAGCAATTTTGCTTTAATAAAGTAAATCCTTATTTTAAAACTGCATTTTGTTTAGTTTGATTGGCTTAATTGTAGGCTTAATTTAGAATAATTTCAGCAATAAATCAGAGGATCTCATCTGGACGACCAACTGGTCAAGAAGGCTCACCAGCGCCTCTTCTTCTTGAGGACTCTGAGGAAGAACCACCTGTCCTCAGACATCCTGGTGAACTTCTATCGCTGCACCATCGAGAGCATCCTGACCAACTGTATAACAGTCTGGTACGGGAACTGCTCTGCCTCGGACCGGAAGGCGTTGCAGAGGGTTGTGAAAACTGCCCAACGCATCGCCGGAGCACCACTTCCTGCCATAAAGGACATCTACAGGAAGTAGTGTCTGAAAAGGGCTGGGAAAATCATCAGAGACCCCAGTCACCCATCACATGGACTCTTCACCCTCCTGCCCTCTGGGAGGCGCTACAGGAGCCTCCGGACTAAGACCACCAGGTACTGGAACAGCTTCTTCCCCACAGCTGTCAGACTCCTGAACTCTGCCTCCTGGCATCTGACCCACGTTAACACATGGACTGGACATACTCACACCCACAACCACCTACACACACACACACACACAATGGACAACTGTACCCTCAAACACACAATAATAACATGGACTGAACCACCACTCACAACCACTAGCACTTTATATAGCCTCTTAACTGCACTACTGTATAGTTCTGTGTAAATAATCATACGATAATTTTTAATTCTATAACTGTTTACAACTTGCATAGTTCCCATTTCTGTATAGCTGTATATCTCATATTTCTGTAAAGTTATTTATTTCATATTCTGTATAGTTTTTCATATTTATATCCTGTTCATAGCCTGTACTCACTACAGCCTGTACATACTTATAGTTATAGCATATTCATAACATACTTCATACCGTGTACATTATAACATACCATAATAGACCCATTTCTGTAATATACTTACATATCTATATTATTGCTAATATATATTGTAATATATCTATATCATGGCTAAAGAAACTGCATTTTGTTGCCCCGTACCTGTGACATGTGCAATGACAATAAAGTTGAATTCTATTCTATTCTATTCTAAATACAATGTAGTGATTTTATGATTCAAATTTTAAAGTATTTAAATTCCATGAAAACACGTTTGAAACAGTCTGACTTATTGTGCAGAATAGAATTGCAACCACTGATCATAATGAGAGGAATAAAAGCTCATTCTGCAGTACAAGTGTCTCAAAGTACCTGCTAGTGTCTCATAAATTCTATACTTGTTTGAGTGGGGTTTTCAGTTGTATCATTTTATTACCCATCAAGGCTAACTATGCAAATACTTGGAATGTTTTAGGCCAATGTCAAGCTCTATCACGTATAAAAAATTGTTTTCATTTTCCTTGCATGTGTGCATTCAATTAAATTATAATTTCTTCTCAATAGATTGTTAGTACCTGACCTTTGGAGAAGGCAAAACAAATATGAGTGTAAAAACATGACTTTACTCTCTCAATAGTAATACTGAGAACTGTAGAGGTGCTCCTCATTCCCATGAACCATTTGCCCCATCAGAATTACTCAAATTGTATCATGATATGTGTTGGTCATTCATTATATGGGCTATTCAATGTGAATCAGCCACAAACACTGAGCAGTTTATTATATTTGTAGATGTCATCATCTGGGGCTCTATTTTAGTTCACGTCCTTGACACGGACATATTGGCTTCAACCTTTCATCCATTTCTCCTCACTTTCTTTTCACATGCAGCACAAACGCCGTCCTTTGTCTGTGATATCCGCTCCCATTGTTGGCTCAGGTGAAATTGGAGAGACGAGGCAGTTTGTTTTAAGGGTAACGCTTCCTGAGGTTGATGATCAACACCACTCTCTTCAGGCCATTAATAGGTACTACACTGACTGCCAATTGCTCTGATTTGGGGGTTCTTTTTCTTCAAGACAACTAAAGTCCAGACAAAAGAAAACACTTATTAATGCAGCCAGATATAAGATCTATGCCATGAAACAGGCTCTGCATTACAAAGATATGATGGGCAGTGATTAAATAAGCACTGAGGGACATATGCAAAAATAAAAATACAATAATTCAAATATAAACTTTAAAAATATTTGCAAAATGTATTTAGTATAATATATCCCATAATGTAAGGACATTTAGTGCTTTTAATGTAGGGAATTTTTACATACTTATTTGTTACTGAAAATGTTGATGATTAAAATTATACTATATTTTTTCAATTGTTTTATCAGTGGTGGAGTAAAAAGACATATTATTTTGCTGAAATGCAATGAAGCAGAAATATAAAGAAGTGTGGTAATCCTATAGATTTACACATTTAATAAATCTAAAATTAATACGGTGGTTTAACCTAATATGCACTGTTTAATCAGGATTTGATTGCTTTTTCCTCTATACTGTTGCATGCTGGGGCAACAGGTTCAAGGTCTCAACAGATTCAATAAACTGATCTGCAAGGCCAGTAATGTTGTAGGGATGGAGCTGGACTCTCTTAAGGTAATGTCAAAAGGGCGAATGTTGTCCAAGAGCTGTACAATAACTCCCACCCATGACATGCATGGTAGTCACAGGCGGACGCTCAGTGAGAGACTGAGATTACCCAAATATTACTGAACGACACAGGAAATCATTCCTGCCTTTGGATATGTCCCTATAAATGTCCTCCATCTAATGCACAGTACATCCTGCAATAGTTGTACAGTGTGACAGGCAGATGGAGCATGCCGATTCAAAAAACAATTTACAAAATGATGAAAAAAAAATACTCCATATTTATTAGATTATCTTCTGGAGTGTGTAAATGGGAAAGGAATAGATCACAGAGGAACAAAGTCCATTACAAGATCAGGAAAGGTCTGTCAGAGATGGAATCAGACTACCCACATGATGTACTGTATGTAATCACAGGCTTTTGTTTGATTTTATATCATTCCTTCATATTTTTATAATCTTTTTTAATTTTTTCTGAATTTTTCTGCTGCAGCTTTGCACCAGACAACAACCAAGTCCAAGTCTGGAGTCCAACTTCTGCAGAAACCCTGATGAGTTAAGTGATGGACCCTGGTGTTACACCACTGACCCCAACACCCGCTGGGAGTACTGTGACATATCCAGCTGCACTGGTAGCATTCATAAATCCTTTATCCTTTACTTAATTTTGTTTTATTTCATTTTTATTTAGTCCTAAATTCATGTCTAATTATCCTCTGGCAACTCTTTCACTTTCCACCATCCTCATTTACTGTCTAAAACATTTACAGTGGCTAATCAGTAAAATGTAGACACTATACAGTATTCTGAAAATGTTTTGGTTCTGGAACAACATTAGATATTTTGTATGTCATGACATATCAGAGACATCAGTGTCTTTTCATAGAGGACTGTATGTATGGACTCCAAGGAACCTCACAGCCATGGCTACCATCCCAGCAGGTAAGTGCAAAATCTTTGTGAGATATATTGAGCCTGTTCTGGATCTTCAAGACATTTTCCAGAAGTTAAGCTAAAGTGTAAATACTTCTTGTGATATTCTTGGTTAGACTCTTAGAAATTATCAGGGAGGAAGGATGTGGGTACGTGTTGAACTGTAAACAGCAGAACATAAAAACCTCAAACTGTTTTCCCCTTACTTGTGTACATGTTTTCTTGTTATAGGCTGGTCAACCATGAACTAGCCCTGTAACAGGCACGTCTGTATTTTTACCACTGGGGGGGCAACAGTTTACTCTATTAAACTTCTGTATATGGTTATTTACAGTTTTAATTATCTTGAGGAGAACTCCTGCAGAAACTCAGATAGAGAACCCCGACCATGGTGCTACACCACCAGCCCATCCAAACGATGGGAGTACTGCTCCAAACCGCGCTGCAGTGAGTCACTTTGTTCTTCATTCTGATGCTTGGTATGAGCATTACAAGGTTGTCTAGTCCATGTGTACATGCCTAAATGAGCTGAGTTGCTGCCATGTGATTTGCTCATCTTATTAGCTTTTTGTCTTAATGAAAAGTCGAACAGGCCTACAGTATATATCCGTTTGCTTTTTTTTTTAACCCATAAATCTTTGTGTTGACATGAAGAGAGAAAGTGCTCTCAATTATGGAGACAGCCAAAGGGTTTATTTATGTTTGATGTGTGTTTTACATGTGTGTGGCTGTTAATAAAGTTGGCGCGCTCTAGGAGGCGTGAGCGTTCATCCAAATTGGCCTAAGGCTGATGTGTGTTTATTCCTCCCGAAGTATCGTCTGTGAAGTTTGCCATGCACGTCAGATTTTCCTGCGCATTTTCATATCTCTGCTAACACTTTGGTTAAGTTTCTTATGTTGAGAATCCAAATTTCAACTATTTAACAGTTGCAGTTTTAGGGGACTTCCCTTTACCTCTAGAGGATCAATAAATGCTGGCCCTGCATCACAATCTGTGGAATTGACGCTTTGGGGTCCTTAGGGACTAGTAAAGCGCTATACAAATACAGGCCATTTACCATATTAAAGGTCAATTAAATGAAACTGAATATAGTTTATATATATAAAAAACACCCAGCACGCCCCTGTGGACGGTTTATCCTTCAAGCTCGGGTCCTCTACCAGAGGCCTGGGAGCTTGAGGGTCCTGC